AGCTTATTCCAAGAATCTTTCTAAGTAGCACTATTTCTACATCTATGTTCAGTAAGACTTTGCCAGTGATTCAGCTCATGACTACCCACGGCAATGTAAGTGGACACGTCTGCTATGGGTAAGGAGGGAGGTACAGACCCGTCACATTGCACTGAAACTGATAGTGAGAACCCAGGGAACGTGGCATTAAAAAAAAGAGAGAAGAGAAAAAGAAGCTTCAAGCACAAAACGTCAGTATCTCTCTGTATTTGTATTTACAGACTAGAAAATTAATGTCATGGTAATATCGTATCATGACGTTTTATGCCTTTATGCAAATCTTAAGCTATTCTGGGACTCAAAAAATCTTGGATACAGCAGACATAACCTGATCTGTAGGTTACAGAGCGCTCAGGGAAAGCTCCTAGGGATTTCAGTAAATTTGAGATTGCTTCTATTTCTCTCAGTTTCTCCACTTCAGAAACAAAACAAAGCCAACCAAATAAAAAAAGGCCAGGACATCTACAACTCATAAATACCTCAGAGTCAGCACAGGAATAGAACCATCAACTTAAATTTTATTTCTTTTGGTTTTAGATATGACATAGGATTGGGCAGAGAAGAGAAGCAGCAATGGAACAATAATTCTGTAATAATAATTTTGGATATCCAAAAGTTTGTGATTTGAAACTGACAGCTGACTTGCAACAAGCTCAAGCAGCTGTAAGCATGCAAATAAGCAAATTCAGTATGAAAACCCCACTGCCCTGGAAAAGATGACTGAATGTCACAGGATACAGATAAAGCCTTGATACAAGTTCATCCTTTCTGGGTGCGGGTTGAAGACTTAATAGAGATGAGTCAAAAACCCCCAAACAGAATACTCACCCCATGTTTTTAGCAGTGTCAGAATCTTCTTGACTTATAAGAGTTAAGGTCAAATTTGCACTACATGTCTTTTTAAATCTACTACTACTAAACTACTTTCTAAATCCCCAATACATTTACATTAATCTCAAAACCACTCAAGGTGGAACCCTCCTAACATAACAGGAACAAGAATCAGAACACGGTGATGAGCCCCGACTTCAGACAGCAGTTCTGGGAACCCACGCACAGCTCATTTTTTACTGCTCCAAGCTGAAGTTGTTTTCTGGCCAAATTATTAGCTAGGACACCAACACATGTCCGTGCTACTCCTCAGCAAAGGGATAGACCCTGCCTGACACACAGTGCCTCAAACCACTGTCCCCCTCAACTGCTGTGCAAATCAAGAGGCAAATCATTCACCCCTTCCTATGCTTGGCCTCAGCCACTTCCTCTTTAAAAACAGATTCTGAAAAGTCTACTTTGAAAATAAACCTTTAGAAAAGCCAGCTGAATTTTTTTTTTTTTTTAATATTGCAAGAAGTCTGCAAAGGCATGACTGGGTACCACATTATTCCATAAAGATGTCAGCTTTTCAGTGATCGCAGCTCTAAAGAGAAGGAACAAACAATGGAGCGCTTCCTTATATGTACACTGGCTCTGCGCTGGTGACGGAGACCATTTCCCCAAATGGTCAAAAAACTGAAGCAGCTCCACTGTGGTTTTTGAAAGGGAACTACTTTAAAGCACACATCCCACTGCAATCCAACTGAAGCTAAAGCTTACAGTGATACCTACAAGGTTTCCCGGTATTAGCATCAGCATGTTGCACCACGTACTTAGTTTAGAAGGATATTTTCGCAGTACAGCTTTCTGCATCGCAGTAAGTTTCCTACCCTGGCTTTGCTAAACTGAACTGACAGAACCTTTGTGCCAAACTGCACTTTGTGTTGACACTTAAACATCTTTCTGCAAATGTCCGCTGCTGGTAATTTAGAGGCTCAGTGCAAGCAGAGGAAGGGAGCTCAGGGCCTGTAATCTGCTCTCCTTTGATTCCTGCATAAAGACCGTGACCGTGGCAAAGACTGAGCACAGTTCCATGTTCCTACCACCAAAAAAGGAGATGGGAGCACACAAAGCTAAACACCCTGCTCTCTCTGAGATAACCACCAGACAGGCTGGCTGCAAACACAATCGAGCACACACTGGCCACAGAAGTGGCACAGAACACACGTGCCCTCTGCGTATCAAACCTGAGCTGGTCCTAGCGAAGGTGTGAGATACCCATACTGCACATCCTGCCCTGCCTCCAGGCACACACCTCAGGCCCTTCGTGAAACAGTCCTGGAGAAATAAGGAAGAAACTAACTCAATTTGCTTCTCTGCCACTATTCTGGTTACTTAATCCTAGCAAACTGTAAAGCCAAGAATTATCCCTTAGGCAAGCCCATGTCAAGCCCTGGAAGCTAGCAGCGCTGTCACAGAATTTCCTGCTGCAGTTGTCAAAAGCTACAACGACTGAAAGACTGAGAGATGCGAGCATTAGGTGCATTAGGGAATCGCAGCTATATATTCTTTTGATGGCATGTGTCATTGTGATCACTGCAGAACTTTAATTCTATTCCTCTATAATGCATGATGCAAAAAATAGCTCTAGTGTCTACTCATCTTTGCAGGTACGAGCTAAAGTAGCCAAGGTGTCAATCTCAAACCAAAGAAATGAGGGCAACCGATCCCATTGCTTGAAGAGCACCTTGTTCCGCCAAAGTGAATAGCATTGGCGCTGAACACAGCCAAACTGTCTGCTTTCCTGGCCAGACAGATTTTTGGGAGCTTTTGGGAGTAGGAGCGCAGCTGCCAAGCCATAAGGGGCAAGAGAAATCAGAACCGCCGCAATAGGAGGAGGTAAAAGTCATCTTATTGCTTCATTTGAAGCTGAGCAGTTTCTGCACCTCCCTGGAGCGAGTCGGGGAGAGCCGGCCCCAGCGGCAGCGCTTGGTTCAACAATATCCTATTTTGCACTGGGGAGTTATGTAAGAGAGGTCCCAGTCACACGGGCAGAGGGAAGCAAAGAAAGGGCATTATTCACAGCCGGACATGGATGAACCCAGTTTAACACATGCACTTGGAAAACACTGTTCTCTCTGTTCAGTAATATTATTTCACATTCCACTCGTTTTGATAACCTTTTCCTTCTCCATCTACCCCGCTGGCTGACTGGAAAGTCGAGTAATGCCTTCTCCTGAGATTAGCCAACACACTAACTGCAATGGATTTTCTTTTTTTTTTTTCTTTCAAGATACCACTGAGCCTCACTTTGCAATAAATAATTTACAAATACTTACAATAAAAAGCTAGAGAAATTCAGAAGGGAAGCCCCTCTGCTTCAAAAAGAGCACCAGGGCAGGGATTGCTTCCCAGAGTTTACCATTTACCATTGATGTACCACCATAGCCTTTCACTCTGACCAGGAAAGGCCAACCTTAGAAGGGGATGTAGAAGTAAGGCGTTTCAGCTTTCTATTTCAAGTAGTAAGTCATGTCTCTGTATCCCTTTGACATGGCCTCAGCTTTGAAAAAAAATCTAGGGCAAATCCTAATTTTATGTATGAAAAAAACGTATTCTAAAATCACTTTATACAGATAAAGCAGAGATGATCCTCTGCTGTCGGAAAAACCCACATGTGGTGTTACATCTTTAACAATCCTGTACACGCATTCATCTGCAAAGTGCCCTGGCAAATCCAGAAGGCAACAAAGGATCAAATCTGCATGGTGAATTTACAGCTAATAGCCAAGCAAATTACACGACCACAGAGGTATTTTTTCCTTTGATAGGCAACAGCACTTAGGGGAAAATTTCTGAGCTTTTTTTCATTTACTGTCCTCATTTCTAATAGCATCCTTGATGCTATCTGCTATGCAACCTCCATGACGCTCAGCATACTAGAAACACCTTAAAATCCCACAGATATAAGAAAAAAAATTGTATTTGATAGCTTCCCAGGACTGAATTAACTGACAATAGCATGAGGAGCTCCTGAGGAGCAAGAGCTGTGTTTTACAAGGGCTATCTTGGACTAGAAAAGATTCCTTACCTATAATTCAGTTTCCTTTCCTGTCCCTGCAACAAAATGTTTGGTATATTTTAAGCTTCAGCTTTTTTTCTTTCCTCCCCTTGCTTTTTTTTTTTGTTGTTTTGTTTGTTTGTTTGTTTTGGGGTTTTTTAAAGAAACAAAACCTTTCAAATGTTCTGGCTATTTTCTACCTATGTGAATCAAACTCAGGGAAGACAAAACTGCCCTTACACATTGTAGCGCTTCTGTGTTTCTGACCTACATTACTGCATCTTCTGAACAGATGTGTAACATCAAAGACAGAAGCAATTTAAACACGCCTTCTCCCTTTCCTTTGCTTCCTTAAGTTACAGGTACATCACCAGACTTGGGACATTTAAACTTACAGCATCCTTCTACACATCCAATTTTGAATCAAACTAACGAAAAAAAATATTTCAAGACTGATATGCTGGAACAGAAATGTATGTTTAAAATTAAGCATCAATTCAAAAGCTTCACTGAATGGGGACCAATGTCTAAAAGCCACAAATGACTCTGCAACCAGACAGCAACTGAGAAATAAAAGCTATGTGCCATCTGCGACAAACATGGATTCCATGAAAAGCTGTCCTGCTGTAAACCCAGGACCATGAACAACAATCCTGGAATACTTCACTGCAACCAATGACATCGGGACACCTTCAAAGAGTTGCTCAAAAGGCAGGAAGTTCAGTTCTACCTGGATCGGAGCACAACCAACAGTATGTGGTAACTGCAAGCAGCCCACAGGGAGCCCTCATGAGCTTGACTGTCACAGAATCTGGGGTGTTTGTTAACCATGGTTTTACGTAAGCTCATTTAGAGCCATGTCAGCTATGTTAAACTCAGATATCGCCTTACTGAAGAAAGCTGACTGTATCTGTTTAGAATTTTTATGCAAATATAGGTCTCTGCAGAGATCTCCCTATTTTCAGTTAGCCTATGGACTGACTTAAGTGAGGCATTAAGCCTCAGATGGTTTATCCTACCAGCAGGATTGAGGAACTAAACCTATCACATCCATGTTTACAAACAGTCTCTCCAGCCTCTGGTTTACCTTTTCAACATCTGCTTTTGTAACATTGATGTCAGCATCCATTTTCTCAAAATACTGCTGTGCTCGATCAGCTTCTTTGCAATCACGTTCAAACCGTCTTTTACTCTGAAAAGGAAAAATAGAAGCCTTCATTATGGGAAAGAAACAGGACATGAACATCTACCTAAAATCAATACCTGTCCCTAAACCGATCTGCTCTAACAACTGTCAGATTTTAGGACTCTCTCGTTTACATTGGAATAAATTTCCATATTAAAGAACTTCAGAAAACAAAGTTACCAGAAACAGATTTTTTGTTCTATTCTTGAGGCTGATTGATTCTACCAACATCACTAGTATTTCAATATTTTTCCCTGTTAGCATCTCTTCTGCTCTTGTAGACCAAATTAGTCCCTTCCAATACTTAGCTCCCTCATTTTTATAATGCACAAGTAAGCCTTTTGGTTACTGATGTCCCCTTTCTTTATCCTCTCCTCTACTTACAGTCTCACTTTTCATTCATCCCATGAATGACAATTCCAATGTATTTACTTTTGAGAAACAGCCTAACTCAAGAGATGTCCCCATTCAATTTATTCACGCAGTATGAAGCTATTCAGCTTACAGTGGAATATCCGAATAGGACCCTTAGGGACTCTGCATTTCCAGAAATGTTTAGCACACTTTTCAAGTCACATCAAATGAAATGCTACTCGTGACAGACACAGAACCCACAGAAAGCCAAATGTACTATTAAAACAGTCTTTTTCGTGTCTACCAGTGTATTTAAGACAGCAGAGGTTTAAAAATCCCGTTTCTACAGCTTTTATCCATACACCCTTCTTTTTCCAAATATAACGTTTGGAGCCATCTCTACGAAAACAGCATAAAAATGACTTAAATGTCACATCTGAGGAAGTTTCCACTTACTGCTTCAAGTTGTTTCCAGCAAGTTTCAATATGTTGTTGTGCCTTTCTGCCATCATGGAAGTGCTGTTTAGAGAAAGAAAAAGAGAAAAAGCAAAACATTTTGAATAACAAAAGAACAAACAGCCAATTACACTCAAGGAGTTCCAGGAAAAAAAACCCAGAAATTATTCTGACAGCTGTGTTCTGCAACACTGGTAAATTGAGCAGGTGTATGACGACTATCTAATGTCTCAGCAGGCTGCAGATGTATATTTGCATCAATTATAGTGGTTAGTTAGACTAAGGCTAATTAATCCCTTTAGCAATTCTACCTTGTATTGTTCACTGTATCTCATAATTATTGGTTTCCCATACCACGAAATCTGAAGCGCTTTTATCTGAAGAGTATTTCTTTGGTTACTGCCTGAACACTAGCTCCAAATTAAAATTTCTCTCTACATGGAATTTACCAAGATGCCCTTGATTGGCACATTCTAACAACTGATGTTTGTCCTGATTTTCATTCAGACTCAACATAAAACCCTCTTCTTCCTAGTTAGTGGCTGTATGTGCAGGGCCAGCTGTTCACTTCTCTTGAGAGGTCTTCAATTCTTTGGGTCCATTCAGAAACCCTCCTCTCCCACCCACTGTGTGCATGCACACGCTAAGGTGTTACAGAATTTTTAAATACGAGATGTCAGCTACATGCTAAATGACAAGGAACTTCTCCTGACATGAGTTTTGGAGCAAGACTTTTAATTGCAGTTGGTTTAAATAACGGTTCTTAGCCCTTACACAATGCTCTCCACCAGCGAATCTAATACGCTTCAGATATTACCCCCTCTATGTTCCATATGCCTCACTTTTCCTCAGGATAAGCAACTCGTTCAAGATCATTGCATAAGTCAATGACCCAGCTCTAAATAGGAATGTTAACGCAGCCCCCAGCTGCCTGCTAGAACAGGTTACTTCCTTTACAAACCACCTTGTAAAATAAATAATGCAGCAAACTACATATAGGAAGAGAGATGCCTTTCTGCTGTATTTTTTACTGGCAATTAGGATGTTTTATTCAAATAGAGGTACGGTTTCACACAGTAAACTTGAAAAATAAAGGTCTGATGCTGTGAGATCATCCCACTGCAGCTCACTAGAATTAACGCGTTCTCCGGCCCTCGCATAATCAGACATTAGATGTATCGTAAGCAACACGGTATCAACTGTATGTTAGGGTAGAAAAGCTCCAGCTTCAGAACAGTAGCCTGCCACAAACTGCCAAAGTTAGAAAAATGTGCCTGCAAGCTTTATAATTGGCAGCTACTTGGTTTCCTGCACCTTCCACTAAAGCAGCTGGCATTTTCCTCTGTCAGGGAGACGGGTTCCTGGGGCAAACGTGCTAGTGGCATTTCCTAGCTGCCTTTCTGGCTCCAGACACACCAGGAAAAAGCCCCAAAACTGCAATTCTCCGTCATGGCATGTCCAATAGTTTTGTATTGCCTTAAAAATCACGACAACCTTCAACTTGTCTGCGAGAACAGAAGGAACACCACGCTCTGCTGAGTGCTCTGGATACCATTACCTGTAGCCCCAAACACCAGCTGTTAGGGATGCTCACCTATAGTTGAACATAGGCACACTCTACAGCTTTAACTTGCTGAATAGTGTTTATCTCCGCAGAAAAATTCTCAAAGCAGAGAAGAGAGGCACAATGTCAGTCATGCTTTTAATCCTGGGCATATGCCACGCTCAGCTCTTGACTCCGCTCCTGCCTCGCGAGAGCAGCCGGGCCATCGGAGGGAGCGCAGCTGACAGCCTGGCACTGCAGCGGCCGGGGAGACACCTCTTGCCATGAACCCTGATGGTACCTGTGCAGTTCAGACCCCTGCCTACCATACCAGGCTTCAAAAACTCAGTCACCACGTTCTGACATTAAAAAAACCCCAGACATAACTAAAATTGCTGGGGCAGTGGGGAATGGCTCCAAGGCGATTTCGGTTCCTTTTGTAGATCCCCATTTCCTTTCAACTCAGCGTGTGACAAATACTGCATCTTCCTTGCCAAGGGGCTTTGAAACGCTCCTCATTTCAGGCTTGCTTTTGTAATTAGAGTTTAGGAAAACAGTCCCAAGGAGCAACAAAAACAGTCCCAAGGAACAACTGTAATTTAACACTACATTTTTCATCGTTTTGCTAATGAGCATGGAATTCGTGAAAAATCTTTTAACAGTGAAGCTGCAAGTAAAATTCCTTGGCTGTCTTCATACTGCATTTCCTACCACCACCAGCCTTTGTCCACATGCTCCCCTCTTCGCTGGCTCCGACTTTGCTGGAGTGTAGGAAGGGAAGGGACCTGATTTGGGAGCAGCTGGCCTGCATGAAACCTAATTCTGTCAATGACCCATAAGCCTTAGGAAAACAACATGCCAGGTTAATTTAACAGAACACAACTGTATATAGGGGCTGAAGGATGAACTTGGAATCAAAAGTGTATCCGATAACAGGGCTACCCTTTAAACCACTTTGTAGTTAATCAACGATTAATTTTAATTTTGCACAAGCCATCCCTGTTATTTCCAAATTTGCCTTCTCCGTAAAATAAGCTCTACAAGCTGCTGGAAGCACACGCAAGAGAAGCAGAAAGCCTGAGCGGTATGGCTGCATCTTGTTCAGGATTTGCTACATTTTGCTTTTTTTTTTTTTTTTAAAAGAAGATTTTTTTACAGAAACAGAGCACTGAGATGTAAAATGAGCATTACTAAGGATTATTAAATAGTGAAACCGAGGAACCACTCAAGTGACATTCTGAGAAATACAGGTACATCACATTTTGGAGATTTCAGTGCAACATTGCCTTTTTTAGTTCAACTGTTTCCTAAAGGTATTTATAACCTCCAACTCTTGCCGTGTTACCCCATATATATCCTTGTTATGAGAGATAAAGCTACATGTGATAACAGATGTAATAAGTATTGACAGCACTTCTGCTTTTGCAAGTCTTTTGCCTTCAAAGGATGATTTCTGCCTTCCAAAAATTAATTTTTATATAAAGCAACTAGGTGGGACCTTCCAGCTATCTGTATTTCTTCATTGCCCCCATTTTATGGGTAAGCAAATCAAGACAGCACGGTTAAGTGATCTGCTTAAACTCATACAGGAAGCCTCTAGTTTCCCCAAACCTTGTACGATCTTCAACTTCCGCAAACTCATTTCCTTTACTTTACAACCTTCTTAAACAGCAAATGTCTTTTAGCTTTCTTCCCCACCCCCCACCACCACCCCCCAAAAAAATTAGCAAACATATTAAGAAAGAGTTGATCTTAAATATAAGGTTTCAATATCCAAGTTCTAATTTAAAGAAATTTTTTTTAATCAAATGAAATAATTGGTTATTCTACACCTGATGATTCAGCAAATGGGAACATGGCAAATGATTTAGCAAATCCTATGGAAAACTACCATTCTTAATTAGTCATGCATGTTTCAGCAGCCCCAGTGATGAATTTAGAGAAGTTGATACAATATAGAATATTACATTTTTTCCTCCCCAAACCAAATGCCTAAACTAACGTACCCTAATCAGCCTTTCTATTTAAAAAATTCAGATTACGAGCAAGATAGCAAATTCATGAATCACACTTCAAATGTGCCAGTAAGACATTTGCAACAGCGGTGCTGGTTGTTCACATGCCACAATCTCCTCCAGACTTTTCGGCCATATCCACAGCATTTGAAGCACACATTAAAACCATGGCAAAGTGAAAGTTTTGTTTTTATTAGTGTTCATGATTCAATCTCCCTAAATCATCTTTGAATTTATACTTTGGAGTCTTAGGGCAGCAAACACCATGCCAACTTTAAGATTTCCCTGAAAAATATTTTATCCAAGCATTAGACCTACTAAACAGCTCAAAACATAGCAGCATAGCCCACACTCAAACAAGACTGGCTACATGACCACTACTGACATTTTTTCCTGTGCTAAAGCACAACGCAGTTAGGGTGTCGCAGGGTGCTCTGAGCAATCCCTAACTGCCCATGTTTTGACTGGACGTCTCCATCCATTCTATGCTCACAGGGTAAGACTCAATCTAGTTTTTAGGTGATTTCATAAGAGTTGTTAAGACTTGAGAGATTTTCAGCACAGCATTAAGTTGCTTATATGAAGGCTGTGGATTAGATCAACTTTTTCTTAGAGCATTCATTATATTCTAAAAACTCCCAGCTACAGTAAAGGAAGAAGAGTTTTAGGAAGAGCAGGAAATCCACAGAAAGGCACATTGTATGCCTTAGTTTTTTCCTTTTTAAATCAAGTCTTACCAATTGGTGTGCTCTCCTCATTACCATGCTGACTGTGTTTGTAACAGCTGGGGAGAAATCCTGGCTGCTGCGCAATCAAAGACAAAACTCTCATTGACTCGTTAGGCTCAGATTTCACCCATGTTGATCAAAACACTGGGAGCAGCAAGCGAGCTACCTACAATGCAGTGCCTGTTACTGCCAACACTATTACAATACGTAGCAGTGGGATATTTTGGCAAAACTTTCTTGGTGTGCAAGAGGGTTTACACAGCCACACCACTCACAGGGCGGACAACAAAAGCTTGTTAGAAGATGCCTCTTATCTTCTTTCTGACCTTTTGAGAGGAGCAGTAGAAAAGCAAGATGTAGTTAAAAGCATCTTACGACAACCGAGCTGCTTATGCTGCATCAGAAACTGTGTGAAATATTTTAAGAGAGGCCCTAACAAGACAGCCTTGTTTTTCTTAAGAAAGTAAACAGCAATTGATTACATGATTAAACTTAAGATTTGCACATCTACAGTCTGTTTACATTAGAAATAGTCAAAAAGTAATCGTAGTTAATTTATATGCATAGCATATGGGTCATTTGACAGCATCCTATTTAAGAATTAAAATATATATACATATATGAGAAGGCTGCTTCATTCTCTTTTCTGTTTTCAAATTAAATAGTATAACACACTGAAAAAAAGAGTTACCTTTGACTTCTGTAACTGGCACTCTCAGCTAACATTTGACAATCAATCTAAACACAGCCCTAGCAATGTAGTACTTCCTCCTCCAA